ACCTTGTCTACTGGATAGGACCCCACAGATAAGCTCACACAAAATGGCCAAGAGAGAGGGGAATCTCCCTCAAAACTTTTAGTTCACTTGTTAGGGTACCCTCCTGGTAGGTCGGAGATCCCAGTTCAAGTCGCCTTCCAGCTTATTTGAACATGGCTCTGCTAAACTCAGGGCTGTGCCTTAGCTATGGGATATTCCCCTGTGGGTCTCCCTCCTTCAGTCTCTCCTACTGAAGCTGTTCCATTGTGGATAATATTAAAAAGTCATTGGAGTAGGACAGTGATGGGCAACATAGGTTAGTGAGGGGACTGCACGAGTGGCCTGCTTCAGCTTAAGGAGCTGCAAGATTTTTGTAACCAAGGCAGTCTCCTAGGATAGAGCATTTTGCTAACTGCATTTGCGTACCTAGAATTTGCGGAGGTGTGCCCACTGAACCATAGCAGCACTTTGATTGGATGCAGGGGGAGTACACAGCTCTCACAGTCAGTGCTGTGTGCAATGAGCACGCACCTCATGTCACATGCCCTTTTTTTTAAATGTATGTCACTTTAGTAAAACTGTTAAGAAAAAAACCTACTGTGGACAAAATCAGCAGCCTTTGGCAACCCTGCATGTGGCAAATGGTAAAGAAAATGCCTCTCAAGCCACACATAGACCTCAATGGGCCACATGTGGCACTCGGGCTTCTGGTTGCCCACCACATGAGTAGGGGGACTGCACCCCAGATCTCTCACTTCCCACAAGATTGCACCAATCACCACGCTAGAATTATTCCCATGCATGGTCTCTCTCTTGCCCCCAGTGATTCTTTCATTGGTTAATCCAAACTGGAACAGATTTACCAGGAGAGACTGCTGGAGCCTGACCCCACAATATGTCACAACACAGCATCTAGAGCGCTCCCCTCAGAAGTGGCAGGTCACTCTTCAAATCCTTGCTCCCTCTTTGGTGAGTACCCTCACCACTGAGCTAAGTAGTATGAGGGAAGTCCTCCTTTCCCCCTGGCTTCTTGCTAGAACAATGGTCAAGCCTAGCTCAAATCCTAGTTGGGATTGGTCCTGCCTTGAGCAGGGGGCTGGACTTGATGATCTCCTGAGGTCTCTTCCAGCCCTATGATTCTATGAAATACAGAATCCTAAACAGAGGGAACTAATTCCCACAGACCTGGAGTTAGTTCTCCAAGAGAGGGCAGGGTGTAACACGTATCTCTCAGCTGGGCACATTCTACTGTCCATCTTAGGGAAGGTGTCACCTAGCATTTGAACCCCATTCTAAGGGGCCAGCTCTTCCTACTCACTGTACAGGGAGCATAGATGCCTAACCCAGGTGGTGTAAATCATCAGTAATTTTCTGGGCACCTAAAAGTTGGGCAGAGTACTGCTCAGCACCATAGCACCTTTGTTCCTTTGAAATCTAGCCCTTGTCTCTTTCTGTGAAGTATCAAATGGCTAAAATCGATATATTATTGATGTCTGCTCACCACTTCAGAACACAGGCAGTCAATTCCTCCAAATTACATGTGCTGTTTATTGTGGCATAAATTCCTAAATAGCGGGTGAAAGACTGACATGCGGTTCTGAAAAGCTTAGCAAAGCTTCTTAATGGGTTGGCCAAAGGGAGCCTCTATTTTGATCAATGTCTGAAATGTAACGAGTTTGTCTGGACAAAAAAAGGATTCTCAGCATTTTCTTTTGAAAAGTCTTTTTTTTTTAAGCTAAGAATCTTTCAGGGCTCACTCTGGCAGCAGTATTTAATACAAAACACTACAGAGATAATCAAAAAACATGCCAAAACAATGTCTGTGGAAGAGTTCTTACATACCAGTCATTTGATACAGATCAACTACTAAGCCAATACTCAAAAGAGCCAACAGCAGAAATCTGTTAAATATTTAACTTATTTATATTGAAATAACATCCTACGTGTGTTTCAAAATAAGGATTCTTTTAAAAGGATTCCATCCTATTATTAACGAGCATATTAAGTACAAGAAGGACTGGTCTATATATATTCCAAACAATTTGTATACATACTACATATTAATATAATATACTCTGACCAATTATTCTGCTGTTAACTGTGACAGAGAATAGGCAGTCATTTCACTCATTAGTGAGAGCTACAGTACCATTTTACTGATATCACTGATACCTTTAAGTATTTTTTGTTGACATCAAGGAAAGCTAGAATACCCTTTCACTGACAATTTTAACCTTAGGAATCCTATTTATAATATTATAATGATATTTACCATTTCTGTAAAAAGCTTTGAGATCAACAGATGAAAACGCTACGTATCAGCTACATTATTATTATTATTATTAGCAATAACTAACCCCAAAAAAACCACCAGCTGCCTGCTGTCCCACACTGCTGTGTCTGATACAGAGGCAGCAGCGCAGGCTGGCAGCAGCCCGTCTGTGAGAGTCTGAACTCTGCAGCCAGAGACTGCTCTGCTGCAGCAGCAGCCCCTATCCGTGGGGAGCTCAGACCGCCCCCCCCCCCCCAAGGAAAGGGGCTGCTCTGTGGGATAGAGGCAGCAGCATGGGGGGGAGGGGAAGGGGCACTGCAGAACTGTGGCTGGGGAGAACCAGCTTTTAAACCGGCTCTCCCCAGCACCGGCTCCTGCTTGCCCCCCTTTGCTGCCTCTG